TAAGCAAATATGGGGTCAATGGAAAGGCCATATTGTTTGACAATTGCTTTTCAGATTGGCTGTCTATGCGCTGCAAAACGAGGGTGCCTGAACAATGCACTTAAAGCTTCGTCTGGGGGGGGGGAGGGAGGCGGGAGAGGAGGGGGCGGAAGGGGCGGGAGGGGACGAGGACAAGACGCCATCGCTAGCTTGGCCTGCTCCCAGACAACCGGCGCCCACGTCAGACAAAGTCACCCCCGCGCTCGAACGCCAACCGGTCGCAAAGGCACCGGCGAGCCCGGTGTCAGAACAGCAGCTCGTAGTGGAGACTGGTCTGGCTGGGAAGCGATCCGCCCGTAGACCACCAGTTGCCGCATCAATACTATAATGCTCAGTCGGTGCTGACGGGCTTGCCGCCGAACGTCGGCATTGCTCGGACGTGTGCATTTCTGTTCGGCGAGGACCATCGAGGAGCATCCTAGATCATCTGGCCCAAAATGCACGCACGAAACCAAACACAGCACAGGGAAGTGACGTCCGAGCGATGGGAAGGACTGGGGGGTGAAGAAAAGGACCTTCAATTGGCCCCTGTAGGGCCCCTGCTGGCTCCAAGACCCTTTCCTTCACACTCTACTTCGGTCACCCGCGATCTGCGATCCTCGATCCGCCATGCTCGATCCTCCATCCGCGATCCTCGATCCGCGATGCTCGATCCTCGATCCGCGACCCTCGATCCGCTATCCTCGATCCTCGATCCGCGATCCTCGATCCGCGATCCTCGATCCGCACACCACCCGCCCGAGGTGCAGCGGCTCACGGAGGCCCCAGACCGAGGCCGGCGCGACCGCGCCCCGAGCGGCCGCGGGCCGGGCGCCGGAGGCTCGCTCTCTGGGGCACTGCGGGCCGGCGGGGCGGCGGGGCCGGGGCCGGGCGCCGCCCCGGGCTGGCTGACGGCGAGGCCGCGGCAGCGGGCTCCTCTTCGGGGGGTCCCCAAAGAGTTGCTCCTCCTCCTCCTCCTCCCGCTCATTCTCCTCCTCCTCCTGCTCCTGCTCCTGCTCCTCCTGCTCCTGCTCCTCCTCCTCCTCCTCCTCCTCCTCCTCCTCCTCCTCCTCCTCCTCGCTCCTCGCTCCTCGCTCCTGGCTCCTCGCTCCTGGCTCCTCCTCCTCCTCCTCCTCCTCGCCCGCCTCACTCCGCTCGGCTCGGCTCCTCCTCGCCCGCCTGCTCGTCCTCTCTCTGTTCCTCGTCGTGCTTCTCAGGGTACGGCGGAAGTGCCGTGAGATCCCAGGCAGCCGGCGTCTCGAAAAAATCACGACGGGAGGTTTCTGTTCAGAGTTTTCGGCCTGTTCGGGCCCTTATTGGGCCTCGGGACCGTCAAAGAGCGGTTCGGGATGAAAGACCGCTCCTGGGAAAGTGGTCAAGGGGTCGGGGACCCATGCGGAGAACAAATCGAGACGCCGCTTGTCAGGGATGGCGTAGACCCCAGACATGCTCGCAGGGTGTCGGAAATCACGACGGGCTGTTGCTGACAGCTTTTTTTGTCTCCCGGGGGCCCTCGTCCGGGCACCGGGGGCCGTCAAGCAAGAAGCGGCTCGGGATGAAAAGCCCGTTCTGCGGAGCGTATCGGGACTTCTGGGGGTCGACGCTCGGACAAAAATCAAGACGCCGGGGGTCTGGGACTGACGTGCCCTCGGGAGCCTTGAGACGGGGGTCAGTGCAAACGGGGGTAAGCCAGATCGCCCGATCTTGCAGGCAAGGCCAGGGTCGCATTGACCTGGGTTTGGGTGCAGGATCCTGCAGGATCTTTCGCATTGACCCGGGTTTGGGTGCAGAATCTCGCAGGATCTTGCAGGATCTTGCAAGGCCTGACTGACCCGGGTTTGGATTGACCCAGGTCAGCAGGTCCCCGATCCCAATTCTCTCGAACCGCGCGTTTGCTCACCCAGTTTCGGGGTCCCTGACCCTTCAAGATCGATCCGGCTCGAAAAAAGGCGCAGAAAGATGGATCCACGGTTCTGGTCGAGTGCGTTTTACGATGTTGCATTTTGTCGAGTCGTCGGAGCTCAGGGTGGGACCGGAAAATAACCAGATCTCCGCCGATACGTTTGTTTCTATCCTGGCGTTGTTACTCGAGTCCAGCTTTTGCGCTTGTCCTTGAGCCCCCGTGCCTTTACAACCAGATCCGAGACGACAATTTGCCCTGAAGTCAGGAATCGCGAAATCTGGGGCAGCGGGTTCTCGGTTCGGAGGGACCCCCGCCCCCACCTCCTCTAATTGTGAAAAGTATCCCGGCAAAGCAACCTAACAGCGATGTGTACTCCAGATTTTGTAATAAACGGGAGGGGGTCTCAACCCTCCCAGACGAGAAGTTTTAGACCCCCCCCCCGTGGGGGAACCCTCCAAAACATCGTCCCCAGATCCCCCCAGGCCCTCCAAGATAGCCTGGAAGAGACCCCCCCCCGAAATGAGACCCCCTCCCTTTTATTACGGAATCTGGAGTAGGAGCATATTTGGAAGCATTCCCCTTAAGATTCAGATGAGAATCCAGTTGTAGAATTCTGCTGTTCTCGCAGTCGCAGTCGCAGTCGCATTCGCGATGACAGTCGCAGTGGCAACGGCAGTCGCAATCACAGCCTCAGCCTCAGCCTGCCTCAGCCTCAGCCTGCCTCAGCCTCAGCCTCAGCCTGCCTCAGCCTCAGCCTCAGCCTGCTTCAGCCTCAGCCTCAGTCTGCCTTCAGCCTCGGCCTCAGCCTCAGCCTGCCTCAGCCTCAGCCTCAGCATCAGCCTCAGCCTGCCTCAGCAGCTTCAGCCTGCCTCAGCCTCAGCCTCAGCCTGCCTCTCAGCCTCAGCTCGGCCTCAGCCTCAGCCTGCCTCAGCCTCAGCCTCAGCCTCGCCTCAGCCTGCCTCAGCTCAGCCGCCTCAGCCTCAGCCTCAGCCTGCCTCAGCCTCCTCAGCCTGCCTCAGCCTCAGCCTCAGCCTTCAGCCTCAGTCTGCCTCAGCGGCCTCAGCCTCAGCCTGCCTCAGCCTCCTCAGCCTGCCTCAGCCTCAGCCTCAGCCTGCCTCAGCCTCAGCCTCAGCCTGCCTCAGCCTCAGCCTGCTTCAGCCTCAGCCTCAGTCTGCCTTCAGCCTCGGCCTCAGCCTCAGCCTGCCTCAGCCTCAGCCTGCATCAGCCTCAGCCTCAGCCTCAGCCTGCCTCAGCATCAGCCTGCCTCAGCCTCAGCCTCAGCCTGCCTCAGCCTCAGCCTCAGCCTGCTTCAGCCTCAGCCTCAGTCTGCCTTCAGCCTCGGCCTCAGCCTCAGCCTGCCTCAGCCTCAGCCTGCCTCAGCCTCAGCCTCAGCCTGCCTCAGCATTCAAAATGTGGCCCGGGAATGGAGTTCTGGGAACTCGAAGAACACGAAGTGGCCTGCAGTTGGCTCCGGGCATTCAAAATCATGCCCAGGAATGGAGTTCTGGGAACTCGAAGAACACGAAGTGGCCTGCAGTTGGCTCCGGGCATTCAAAATCATGCCCAGGAATGAAGTTCTGGGAACTCGAAGACCACGAAGTGGCCTACAGTTGGCTCCGGGCATTCAAAATCATGCCCAGGAATGGAGTTCTGGGAACTCGAAGACCACGAAGTGGCCTACAGTTGGCTCCGGGCATTCAAAATCATGCCCAGGAATGGAGTTCTGGGAACTCGAAGACCACGAAGTGGCCTACAGTTGGCTCCGGGCATTCAAAATCATGCCCAGGAATGGACTTCTGGGAACTCGAAGAGCACGAAGTGGCCTACAGCTGGCTCCGGGCATTCAGAATGTGGCCCGGGAATGGAGTTCTGGGACCTCGAAGACAACGAAGTGTGTATTTGTTTGCTTAAAACGACTTCCGCGGATTCTCCCCGGATCCTGCCCGGACCCCCATGGGGAGTCATGAGGCTTTCTTTTGACACCATTAGAAACCTATCAGTCTTCGCTGTTAGGTAAAACATCGATGCGGGAGGTTTGGGATGCAGTTGTCGGCCTCATCCGGGGGCCCTCGCTTGGCCTTGGAACCGCCCCAACATCACCCCCGATGGAAATCTATCCCCAGGGAAGGGATCCAGATCTCCAGATTTCTCGTTACAGCCAAGATGGTCAAATATGGACTACTTCGGGCCCAGGATGGCCACAGATCTGGGTCGGGTAGCTTCTTCGTAGCCGAGACTCGCCGCACGATTAAATCTATGTAATTCGGCCGATAGGCCCACAGAAGCACCCAGACTGTCGGCCCCTGCTCAACGGGGGAGCGAATCGGATCGGGAGGTTGGGAATGGGTACAGGAAGATCCTACTCAATATCGCCTTCGGCTGGACATTCCGACGACCCGATGCGGCCCGATGCTTGCGTGGCGCCGTTGTGCATCCTAGCGCAGGCGGTCGGTTTTGGCTCGGCCGATGCAGCCCGATCCGCCGCACGTCCAGGTTCGAATTGAATCGGGAGGAGACCCCCATCCAGAGATACCCCCACCTCCTCTCGTCGCAAGAAAAGCACGGCAGGAGATTTCGAGCAGTTGTCGGTCCTTTCTTGGGCCCAGACATTGCCAATCATCTTCGCCGTGGAAGCCAGTCCTGGGAGAGGAGTCCAGATCCCGTCGGGTTCAGAATGTGAGAGAAAACGCGAAACACAACGTTGAAGCTCTGGGGATGCGGGGCGAATACCGTCAGCAGTTCCTGCCCATTTTGAGCAAGGTTTGCGGTCGGTTTCGCCGCGGACGTTGTCCGCGCATGGACAAGAAGTCGTTTGCCAGCAGCGGCCGCTGTCAGTGTTGGACAAGTGTTATGTTGGTGCATCGTGCCAATTTTTCCGCACCCATTCCTTGTCGAATTTCTTCACGCTTCGCGTCGGTCCACAATGAGGGTCACTTTGTCCCTGGCATGTGCACTCGCTACAGCGGCCTATGCGCCTCTGCAGCGAATTATCTCGCTCTGTGGCCCAGACGTTATTCCCGCTCGCTGGATCTGTCCTTCGAGCCGCCGAACGAAAAAATATCCCCACCAGTCCGTAGTCTGGCTCAAGGGTCAAGTTTGAGACGCTAGAGTATTGCTGCCTGCAGCTGTTGCGCCCCTCGCTACCTCTCGCAGCTCACTCCTCGTACGCACGCAATGGCAGTGTTCAGCATGATGGTCTCCCTTCCCGTTTTGCCGATGCTCGTGATCGCTCTCGTGCTCACGACTTGTGCCGCCATCGAGGACATTTGGTTCTTCGGCATCGAGCCCTACACCATCGTAGTGCCGGTAGGCTTGTCCGTCCAGATCGGCAAGGAGTTGATGCTGGACGAGATCAACAAGAAGGCCGACCTTTTGCCTGGCTACAGGCTCCGGATGGCACATCAAGACGGACAGTGCAGTGCCGACCGCGTCTCCAACATGTTCCTGGGGAACCTCTTCAAGGATACATACGAAGTGTTCGCGCCCGGGCTGGACCCACTCACTCTCAACAGAGACGGGGTCGGCGCGGTCTCGTATGACGACTCGAGCATCTTCAACGAGGTGTGGACCTCTGCAAACATGTCTGGCGGGCCCGTTGGCCTCATCGGAGGCGGGCGTTCAGGGGGAACCATGGCCATCAACAATGTCGCTAACATGGCCAACGTTCCCATCGTGTCGGCGCTGTCCAGCAATCCAGGGCTCTCCGACCGCAGCAAGTATCCGAATTTCTGGAGGACTGTCATGCCGGACGCCCAGTTTGCTGGAGCATGGATGGCTACAACGAAGGTCTTGGGCTTTTCAAACATGACCGTGGTCATCGGCGAGACGTCAGTGTGGACCCCCCACGCTGCATCCGTGCTGAGGCAGTCAGAAGCCCACGGAATGGCCCTAAAGGGCGTGGACCTCAGCGAGGAGTTCGAGTGGCAGGGCGAGCCCCTGGAGGGCTTCGCAGGGTAGCAGGTGTCTATCAACTCTGTTAGTGCTGCATTCGAGGCCGCGAAAGGCATCCGGCAACAGAACCGCCGGATTGTGCTGACCATGATGTATGACGATCGGCTGAGGATGCTGTTCTGTGAGTGCCACAAGCTCGGTTTGGACAATTTCATTTTTTAATGGGTCCCGGCTGGCTCGGCGACGGGTTCTGGCGTACGGCCGACGACACAGAGTGCTCGATTGAGCAGGTGACGCACCAGGCGAAGGGTTGGATCGTGGCCGATGCACGGTTCTGGCGTTCTGACATGGACACCAGGCTGACCTGCTCGGACGACATGACCGCCGCGGACTTCCAGGCCAAGTGGTTGGAGAGCCAGCGCATCAACCTTACGACCTTTGGCGGCATCACGAAGGAGGGCATCTTGCCAACCCACTATGGGGCAGTGGCTGCGGACGCCGTCTGCATGTTCGCGCTCATGCTGCACACCGTTCTGTTCGAGGCGGGCCATTCCCTGGAGGACCTGAGGCAGCGCAAAACGGCGGTGCATAACGAGATCCAGGAGATCTTCAACAGCACCGATTTCGAGGGGAACAGTGGCCGCATCCGCTTCGAGCCGAACAGCCCGGATCTTGCCAGCTCCATCGTAGTCCAGCATTTCCAGTCCTTCAGGGAGGACTACGTCGATATCGGGGAGTACAACATCGCGGACGGAGTGCTCACCTTCCTCGGAGCTTCCGACTTTGAGTTCAAGATGCCTGGAGAGATCTATGCTGCTGGGCCTGCGGGTGCTACCAGCCTTGCTGGTCAGCCAGTGGCCTTCGATACTTGTCCTCACGGAATGATTCTGAACTATGCGTCAAACGTCTGCGTGCACTGTGGTGACTCAGAGGTGTTCGTTGATGCACTCTGCGGCTGTACTTGTAAGGCTGGCTTCGTCTCATCGACGGAGGGCTGCGTCCCTTGTGAGGCGGGCACGTACGTCGACGTTGTCGGGCAGAACGCCTGCATTGACTGCGAGACCGGTAGGTTCAGCGACGAGGCCGGTGCCACTGCGTGCGAGCTGTGCCCGCGGGGCTCTTTCGCAAACTCCACAGGAAGGGCCAGCTGTACCGACTGCCCGCACAAGGAGTCCGGGAAGACCACGGGTGGCTTGGGTACAGAGTCAGAAGAGGACTTCCAGTGCGGGGTCGGCTTCAAGCCGGTCGCGAGCGACGGCAGCTGCGAGACGTGCGGCGAGGAGGATGAGACTGGCCTCGTGTGCCTTGGCAACGATGTGGTGGATGTGGCAGCAGGCTTCTACGCGGCCGACGAGTCGCTGTCCGTGTTCCGCTGCTACGGCAACGACCCCACGCTGCGCCGCCGTGGCGGTCTGGCAGGCCAGACCTGCGCACCTGGCCGCGTCGGCATCAGCTGTAGCGAGTGCCAGGAAGGCTCGATGCCCAAGGAGGATGGCAGCTGTGTGCCGTGCGAGACAGAGGGCAATAGCTCGACGGCCCTGGTGCCCGTGGTGGTCGCCCTCTTGGTGGGCCTCTCCGCTTTGTACGGTGTCATCGACAGGTTCAATACCGCGAAGTACAGCTACGCCATGCTGCTGCCGCTGGTGGGAAGCATCTTGGTGAGTATCGTGCAGCAGCTGGCGGTGCTCGGCGCTTTCAAGGCCGCAACCTGGCCTGCGCCGACGACTGGCTTCCTTCTGGGCCTCGAGCTGGGAAGTTTGGACGTCGAGTTCTTGAACCTTGGCTGTGTGAGACAGATCTCCCCCCTGGGCCGCTTCATCGTGAAACTGAGCATTCTGGCAGTCTGCGTCTTCGTCATCCTCATGATCCATGTGGTCTCGGTACTAGTGTTCTACAAGGGCAGATTCTCGGACAGGTTGCACATTTTGATCGCCTGTCTGGGCTCATGCGTCACAGTCTTCTACATTTCTGTGATCTCGGCCGTGCTTGGGCCGATACAGTGCCTGGAAGAACCCGAATGGCAAGTGGACAGCTCGACCCTATCCGTCTGTCGTTTGCTGGGAGTCTGATGAGCACTCCGCGATGGTCGCCATCGGCGCAATCGCTCTTCTTATCCCGATCGGCTACCTGGTCCAGTGCTGCTTGACTGCATGGCGCTTCCCTAGAATTATGAGTGAGGGCCACGTGTCCTACCTGCAGTCCTACGCGTTCCTTTTCTTCCGTTACAACCCGGAGACCTCCTGGCATTGCCTGGTGCAACTCCTCCGCAGCTTGCTGCTGGCGGTAGTGCTGGCGCTCCCTGACGTCGCGTTCCAGCTGATGAGCACGCAGCTCATTCTGGCCCTTCAGCTCTGCAGTGTGGTGTACTACCTGCCGTGGCGCGTGCCTGGATCCAACACCCTCGATGCCACGTTCACGGTCGGCGTGGTGGTGGCGTTGGCATGTGCTTCCTTCTATGTAGACGCGCACCCAGGTTGATGTCCTGGCTTGGATCTCCATCGTGTCGGTGGCTATCATGGTGTGCTCGACGCCCATCATCGGCGCAGTGGTGCTCTACCGTGAGCTGACACTCAGAGGCAACAAACCGTTCAAGTTCTTCATTTGTCACGACGTGGCTGGCGCCGGTGCCTATGCGCGTCTGCTCAAGATGCACATGGAGAAGAGGGCTGCCAGGGTAGGCATCGACAATGCTTGCGCTGGCGCCAGTCTCGACACCATCATGGACCAGGTCGGCACGCAGACTGAACGTTTGATCGTTTTGGCGTCGAAAAGCTTGCTCCAGAGGCACAGCTCCATGAACATGATCATGGCCGCGGAGCGCAAGCAGGTACAGGTGGCGAAGGTGACAATGCCCGAGTACACCGATCCAGAGGAGGAGTTCATCAATTCGTACGAGACAGACTTCAGCGACTCGTCGGTGCTCGCCAATGGCGGCTTCACAGTTTCGAACGTCAAGGATGCCCTGCGCTGGTTTCGTGGCCTCCAGGGAATCCCTGTGAGCCGGCAGCTGACCAGCACCTCGCTCGAGGAGATCTGCAACGAGCTGATTGGGAAGGCTGCGCCGCCAGCGAGCGAGGCTGGTGGCGATCCGCCCCCCAGACATCGCCACTGTGATCGTGCACGACAGCAAGAATTTGGAGGCCACCGCCGCTGCCATGGTCCTGGAGCGCATGTTGGAGCCGTCCTTCAGGGCTGGCAAGTCGCCGAGGGTGCTGTCCGCTGGCCAGCCTGTGCCCTCCTCGGCCAAGCAGGTCATCCTCCTCTGCGCCGACGGCATGCTCGAGCAGGAGGCCCCACTTCGTACAATTACGTCGGCGTCCAAGCTTGGCGCGACTTCCTTGCCCATGCTGGCTGGGGACGGCTTCCGCTTCCCGCCCCTCGACTTCGCCCAGAACAACGAGAAGATCCTCGAGCGGGAGGAGATGGATCTTGTGCTGGCAGCCTTCAAGCCCGTCTCAGTGAGCTTCCCCGCTGCGTTCGCCACGGGCCAGGTGCTCCGCGTCAACTCCGACGGGATTGCCGCGCGCTTGCTTCACGAGGAATGGACCAAGAGCCTCATTGAGTCGAGCATGACCAGCGAGAATCAAGTGCCTGACCTTGCAATCATCTCAAGCAGATAATCGCTATCTGCCATGGTGGCTAGGCAGGAAGCATGTTTGTAGGAACTCGTTTCCTCCCCTGCCTCCTGCCTCGCGCCGCCCTTCACGAACCCATGGGTTACCAGCTTCTCCGAAGCGTGACCCAGCAGACCTGGGCAGCGCGCGCCCCCGCGAGTTTCTCCCTGGGCGTGGCCCGACAGACCCGGGCAGCGCGCATCAACGCTTCCTCTCAGGCGTGACCTGGCAGATCGGGGCAGCGCGCATCCTTATTTCCTCCCAAGCGTGACCTGGCAGAGCCAGACGGCGCTCATTGACATCTTCTCCCAAACGTGGCCCGATGTTTTTTGGCAGCGCGCATGCCCATTTTGTTTCCTCCCAGGCGTGAGCCAGCATTTCCGGGCAGCGCACGTCTACATTTCCTCCGAAGCGTGACCCAGCAGATCCGGGCAGCGCTCCAGGCGATTGATGACGACACCGTGGAGGCCGCATGCAGGACATGCTGGCCCACGGTCTGCCCGAGACCTCCTTTGCAGTCGCGAGCCTACTCCCCTTTCTGAGGCCGCGTGGTTCGGTAGGACATGCTGTCCACGGTCTGCGCGAGGCTGCCTATGGCAGTCGCGAGCCTACTCCCTTCTTTGAGGAGCCTTGTGCGCCTGCTCCTTCGGCACAAACAAAAGCTCGCTTCATGCCAAGCCAGAGGGGACCAAGTGCAGATGCAGCTGGCAACATTCCAAGAGCTTGGCTTTCATGCGGAGCGTTTTTGTCTCCTCATCGCAGTGGCCCTGTGCTTTTTGCGATGCCAGGTCTCTGCAGGAGGCAATTCTTCACGCTTCGCGTACCCCCACCAGCCCATCTCAAAATAGCAACTCTTGCGAAGCATGCCGACAGTCGTGTTTTTCAGGCGTGTTTCCGCCTGCCCCCGCATATCTCCCCTGTTCCTTCTTCCTCCCGCCTCCTTGTACATCCTCCTTGTGGTGGGAGCGGGAGAAGGACGAGGCGGAGGAGGAGGGAGAGAAAGCGGTGGGAGGCAAGAGGGATTTAGCGGAGACGACGACCACAGCGATGATTCTAACAACGACGACGCACCCGACGACGACGACGATATCGACCGCGACGACGACGACGACCACAACCGCGACGACGACGACGACGACGTCGACGACGACGACGACGAAGGCGGCGGCGACGACGACGACGACGACGACGACGACGACGACGACGACGACGACGACTGGTGGGAGTCGTTGGGGCCCGTCGTGGGGTGAGTCGTTCGGCCCCATCGTCCTTGTGTGAGTCCTTCGGGCCCCTCTTCCTGGTGTGAGTCGTTCGGGCTCCTCGTGGTGTGAGTCGTTCGGGCCCCTCGTCCTGGTGTGAGCCGTTCGGGCTCCTCGTGGTTTGAGTCGTTCGGGCCCCTCGTCCTGGTGTGAGTCGTTCGGGACCTTCTTCCTGGTGTCAGTCGTTCGGGCTCTTCGTCGTGGTTTGAGTCGTTCGGGCTCTTCGTCCTGGCGTGAGTCGGTCGGGCTTCTCGTAGTGTGAGTTGTTCGGGCCCTTCGTCCTGGTGTGAGTCGTTCGGGCTCCTCGTCCTGATGTGAGTCGTTCGGGCTCCTCGTGGTGTGAGTCGTTCGGGCCGCTCGTCCAGGTGTGATTCGTTCGGGCCCCTCCTTGTGTGTGAGTCGTTCGGGCCCCTCGTGGTGTGAAAAGTTCGGGCCCATCGTCCTGGTGTGAGTCGTTCGGGCCCCTCCTTGTGTGTGAGTCGTTCGGGTCCCTCCTTGTGTGTGAGTCGTTCGGGCTCCTCGTGGTGTGAGTCGTTCGGGCCCCTCGTCCTGGTGTGAGTCGTTCGGGCCCCTCCTTGTGTGTGAGTCGTTCGGGCTCCTCGTGGTGTGAGTCGTTCGGGCCCCTCGTCCTGGTGTGAGTCGTTCGGGCCCCTCCTTGTGTGTGAGTCGTTCGGGCTCCTCGTGGTGTGAGTCGTTCGGGCCTCTCGTCCTGGTGTGAGTCGTTCGGGCCCCTCCTTGTGTGTGAGTCGTTCGGGCTCCTCGTGGTGTGAGTCGTTCGGGCCCCTCGTCCTGGTGTGAGTCGTTCGGGCCCCTCCTTGTGTGTGAGTCGTTCGGGCTCCTCGTGGTGTGAGTCGTTCGGGCCCTCGTCCTGGTGTGAGTCGTTCGGGCTCCTCGTGAGTCGTTCGGGCCCCTCGTCCTGGTGTGAGTCGTTCGGGTTCTTCCTTGAGTGTGAGTCGTTCGGGCTCCTCGTGGTGTGAGTCGTTCGGGCCCCTCGTCCTCGTGTGAGTCGAACTCTCCTCCTTGTGTGTGAGTCGTTCGGGCTCTTCGTGGTGTGAGTCGTTCGGGCTCTTCGTCCTGGTGTGAGTCGTTCGGGCTTCTCGTGGTGTGAGTTGTTCGGGCCCCTCGTCCTGGTGTGAGTCGTTCGGGCCCCTCCTCCTGGTGTGACTCGTTCGGGCTCCTCGTGGTGTGAGTCGTTCGGGGCCCTCGTCGTGGTGTGAGTCGTTCGGGCTCCTCGTGGTGTGAGTCGTTCGGGCGCCTCGTCCTGGTGTGAGTCGTTCGGGCCCCT